GCAGACAGTGCTTCATGCCGTTCTGAGAGAAATCCGACAGCTGCGGGAGGAGCAGCGGCGAGCGAGGACGGCGTTTACGGAATCTCTTCGCCAGCGGGATGTGCAGATCTCCCAACTGCAGGAACGACTTCGCGAGATTTCATCAGACCAGCTAAGTCTTTCTAATAATACTGGCGTACGAGATTCGGTCGCGAGTGTTCGTGTGCGTCACTCTCGCGCGGATTTTTCCGGTCGAGTTGGCTCCGTCGCGGGCGGAGATGCGGTCGCGAGTGTTGACAACTTGACTGCACCGCTCCGTGTTGATACCGACGGGGGCGCCGCCGGTAATCATTTTGATGCGTCTGGGACGCTTCGCGGTCAAAAGGGTGTTAAACTTAAACCAGATACGTATAAGGGGAACGCGCCTTTACGCGAATATCTCGCGCAATTTAACCTAATCGCCCGAGCGAACCGTTGGGAAGACCAAACGAAGACCGCTATATTAGTGTCGTGCTTGCGTGGTAAAGCACGCGCAATCTTAGAGAACATGCAAAATTTAGAGACTTTACGATTCGAGGAATTAAAGTCAAAACTTGAAATGCGTTTCGGGGAAACGCAATCGTTACAAGGCTATTATTTATTATATATTAAGGCTATTATATATTAAGGCAGTTTACGAGTAGGAGACAAAAGTTCGGGGAAAGCATTGCCTCGTTGGGTTCGGATGTCGAGCGGTTATCGGAATCGGCATATCCGGAGTGCCCCGATATAGTTCGCGACAAAATAGCGTGCGCACAGTTCGTCTCCGCTTTGTCCGACGGATTCGTAAAAAGAACACTTCAGATGGAGGGAATTACGTCTCTCAGGGTGGCGATCGAGCGGGCGAAAACAATAAAATTAATTCAGGAAAACAGTTTTCAACATAGAAATGAGAACAATTTTAGTCACGAAGGGAAAAAAGGGGAAAATTTTCGGTTTAAAAAAGAAGAAAAAAATCAAGACAAGAACGCGGATAAAGATAAAGAAAAAAAAGTTAATAAAAACGAATTTAAAAAAAGTGAAAAGGGGATAGATTTTAAGAAATTCAGGAAAGAAAATGGAAAAGAGTGTTGGGAATGCGGAAAGGAGGGACATTTCCGTTCCGAATGTCCCGGTAGAACGAAAAACGTGGAATAGTCGAGCTTGGCGGGGTGAGCTCGACAATCGAACAGAAAACCTCGAAAGATAATTGTTGTGTCAATAGTCATAAATGTTCTTGTGTTGTTACTAATAAATGTTATAATTGTAACCTTGTTTTTAACCAACATTTTTTCAGGTCGGAAAAAAATAAATATAATTTGGAGAATTTTTGTTACATTGGTGAGGTAGATAATAAACGGTGTATTTTCAAAATAGATGCGGGTTTCGACGTTTCAATTATAAATAATAAAATGATTGGAGTAAATAAACCAAGAATAAAAGTGGATAGGTGTAATTTAAAATATCCTACTGGGGAAAATGTTGTCATTCTCTATAAGGTATTCATAAAAATTAGGATCGGAAATTATTTAGAGGAAGTTCCTATGTACGTAGCAGAAATAGATGACGATTGTATTTTGGGAGCAGATTTTCTTAAAAAGCTTAATTTATTGAATGTTTTTGATTCCGTTTTCGGTCCGATTCCAGGAAGAGATAAGTCTATGAAGTGTGCTTGCATTAGCGAATCTTATGACATTCCGTCAAATTTAAAAAGCTTATTTGAGGAAAATGCTAAAAATCTAAATGAGGGGCAAAGACGGGTTTTCGCGAAATTACTTGTCGAATTTGAGGATGTGTTTTCGGAAAATATTGTCGCTGGGAACTGTAATACGGGAGAACATGTCATCAATGTGAGGGAGTCTCTTCCCATTAAGCAGGCTCCACGTCGTATTTCTATTCATATGCGGAATGAGATAGATAAAATAATTGAAGAAATGAGGGATCAAGGGGTGATAGAGGAATCTTCTAGTCCTTGGACTTCACCTGCGGTTTTAGTTAAAAAGAAAGATGGAACGATAAGGTTTTGCGTTGATTTCCGTAAATTGAATGATATTACAATTAAAGATTCGTTTCCTTTACCCAGAATAGATGACATTCTGGATCAGTTATCGGGTAATAGTTGGTTTTCCACGCTGGATCT